CAGTTCTTTGTGCTGATATTATTTCTGTCGCTGGAAAAATTTCTGTGTCTGCTGCTTTGAAGTGCATGAAGCTACTTGTCAAGGTATGGTAACCAATTTCATCTTCTTTTTATCTTGACTGCTGCGGGGAATCTAGTGTGGCTTTTGTACTGGATTTCTGAATTTTATGTGAAGTGTAAATATCAACACACATTCATTTATTACACCGGTTGCATCCACAGGCTGGTGCTGGTTTGAACTGTACAACTCCTGATACTCCATTGGTGATAGCAACCAGCAAAGACTTAACTGAATGTGTCCAGTACTTGTTGGAGGTCGGTGCAGATGCCAATATTCCAAGCAACTATGTAAGTTTTTGACTTTTGCGACTTGCTTTTCTTGATTAATATTATCCTTGGCACTTCTAAACTGAGACTTGTGGTGATGATGTCGTGTTGGTAACTGTTGGAGTATGTGGGAATGTCTTAATTATTGCTGCTTTACTATATCACACTTGTTATTAATTGAATGTATGCTATGTCTCTGTTCACACATATTGCGATTATCCTAAATACTTTCCTCCTGTACACAACAGAACGGTACGACACCAATAGAAATTGCTGCAGACTCTGGAAGAAGAGAGCTCGTGGAGATTCTATTTCCATACACTAAACCCATTCAACGTGTGTCAAACTGGAGTGTTGATGGAATCATTACTCACGCAAAACACTTGAAGGAAAAGGTACAAACTCAATTTGAAGTTCATTTATTTTGATGTTGCAATCTGTAGAACCTTATGTTTCTCCTGTTTATGAGATATGTGTGAAATAAGGTGAATGCTATTCGTTTGTTACGGTGTAATATTCTTTTTCCAGAGTCTGCCTAGCAGCTACTCCCTCCGTGCCAAAATACTTGGCATGGTTTTAGGTCAAATCTGTACTAAATCCATGACAAGTATTTTGGAACGGAGGGAGTAAATAACAAATACTCCCTCTGTCCCAAAATTCTTGTCTTAAATTTGTCTAAATATGGATGTATCAAGTCACATTTTAGTACTCCCTCCGTCCCAAAATTCTTGTCTTAAATTTGTCTAAATATGGATGTATCAAGTCACATTTTAGTACTCCCTCCGTCCGAAAATACTTGTCATCAAAATGGATAAAAAGTGATGTATCTAGAAGTAAAATATGTCTAGATACATCTCCTTTTATCCATTTTGATGACAAGTATTTCCGGACGGAGGGAGTGTTAAATACATCCGTATCTAGACAAATTTAAGACAAGAATTTTGGGACGGAGGGAGTATGTAGAAACTGTAGTGCGGAACCATCAGTTGGACAAAGTTGACTAGTTTAGTCTGGCAAGTAAATTCAGGAAGTCCTGAATACATATATTGTGAAACTCTGATCAATAGGGAAGCAAAATAGTAAATACAAAATAGAAACATAATCCTATTAACTGGTTGCATGAAACAGAACTTTAATAGGTTGTTCCATGGAGATAGCATCATGGTATTACTCACTGCAAGCCAGTGAAGTATGTTTTGGTGAGCATATTCATTTGCCATTATTTACTGGTTTTTAGGTGTTCTCATTGCACAATTTTGCCAGTGCCATTGCATGGAGATGGAAGTACCACGTTTAGGGCAGTCCAATTGTTTGTAACTAAACATGCTTACAAATTGAAGTGATAAAATTGTTGCTCTGAAGAGAGGGCTTAAGGATTGCTGTTCTTACTTCTATAAAAGTTGTTTAATTGAGCTTCTCCATGTTTGTTAACTTACATGTTTTGTACTCATTAACATGGTTAACCATCATGATTCAGGGTAAGCAATGTGATAAGGCCAGCAAGGTTAAGCAAAGTGATAAGGGCAGCAAGGTTAAGCGGAAAGAGGATGCCAGTCCACGGAAGTCCTCTTCCGAGGTATGTATATCTTGCACATCTAGCACACTATTAAAGCTGCATCAAATGGGTACTGTGGATATAAATGTGTTCTCTTAATGGTGTAGGAGAAGGTAGTTCAAGATAAGAAGGCTGAGCTGAAATCACTTGGTGCAAAAGCAGTAGAGGAAAAGGACTATGCCGGTGCATCAAAATTCTACAGCGAGGTATGTTGTTGCAGCTGTTCCACTTTTTTTGGCAACATAGTTGGCTGTTGGGCATGGATGTATACACTCTGTCCTTTTGAGTTTTGAGTGGTTTGATTCTGGGATAACGGATCGTGCTTGGGATTTGGTTTGACGCAGGCAATCAAAGTGGATCCTAAAGATGCGACGCTCTATTCAAACAGGAGCCTATGCCATCTAAGGATTGGTGAAGCACATGATGCTCTGGTGGATGCTGATGCTTGCATCAGGCTGCGGCCTGATTGGCCAAAGGGTTACTGCCGGAAAGGAGCTGCCTTAACAGCGCTCAAGGTCAGACAAAACCACACATGGCTAGCCTTTTAACTCGCTGTTTTACATTTCAAACCCCATCTCCCCATGCTGACAATGATGTGCTTCGTGTTTTTTTTAAATCATTAGGACCACAAGGAAGCATGCGATGCGTACATGGCTGCGGTGAAACTGGATCCATCAAATGAGGAGTTGCATGAAGCATTTTGGTATTACTCTTTCCGCTTAACCTTGCAACGTGGAGTATTTCCATCTTTGCCTTTCTTTTCCTGAACACGTCTTCTAGTTCCAAGGACTGCTTAAATAGAACCTGTTTTTAACTCCACGTGCATGTAGCTCTGTCACTATTTTGGTATTGCTTGTACACTGTCGTTGTGTACCGTTAGTGTCATGCATCGTGTGCATTCTTATATATATGGCGTATATCTGGTTGCAACATACTTACTTTGGAATAGGCTGAAGTTTGCACAGTTTGAATTGAACCCTGGCCACCATTGGAGGGCTCGATGATAACGGTTTGTTGCGCCATTTTTCAGGGAGGCGGTCGTGGCAATGAAGGCGGAACTTGGCGCTGGGCAAAGCGGCAGCTCATCGGACTCTGATTAGGGATGTGGGCGTGCTCAGTGGTTCCCTTCCAGGCCTCTCATTGCGTGCTTGTTTACGTCTGGCCAAACTGCTGATCTCTTTTTTGTCTTAGCCGTATGGCGAAGTCGTGCTCAGTTCCTTAGAAATGCCGCGCTGTTGCTATGCGAGCGCTTTGAATTAGTACGGTGCTTTGACGATCTGTTTGGAGCATGGATGGTACTGTATTTTGCTAGACTCTGGTGGTGGATGCTTTGGATTGAACTTGTTTTATCATCTGTGTTTGGTTCGTCCAAATCCGTCTTCAAATGCCCTAGGCCGTTTTGAATTTCTTTCAGTTAGCCACATTGGCTCGGCTCTCCTGCATTGCATGGTTGAGAAGAATTTATAAGGATGATTATTTGGATGAGTGGTTGAGTTGGGTGGGTATTTGAATTGCTGGACGCTCTGAATAGTTTTTCTAATACTCCCTCCGTTCGGAATTACTTGTCATAGAAATGGATGTATCTAGATGTATTTTAGTTCTAGATACATCCATTTCCGAGACAAGTAATTCCGAACGGAGGGAGTAGCTTCAACCTGGGTCCGTTTGGAATTACTTGTCACAAAAATGGACAAAAATGAACGTACCTATAACTAAAATGCATCTAGATACATTCATTTCTTGAACGAGTAATTCTGAACGGAAGGAGTATCTAAGAAAGCTTTCAATCTAAAGTGAGTCGTTAGAAAAGAAATAGATACCACCGATCATTTGTTTCCTTTTATTTGCGACGGAATTTTGTCGGCAAACCACTCTGAGTGGAATCACCAACACCAACACGGCAACAAATTGAGAAGGGTACAGCTGATGGGGACTTAAACTTACCCTAACCCGCTACCCGAACCTTAATTGTTGGGTATCGGGTCAGGGTTCGGTTCTCATTTCCTGGCTATTCGGTTTTCGGGTTCCAGTCTGGAAAACCCGAAATACCCATGCTACCCGAATTATTCATACTAACCAAATTGTTCATGCTAACCAAATTACCCACGCTATTATCACACTGTCATGTTACCCATACTAACTAAAATACCCATACTACCCGAATTATTCATACGAAAAGCTGATGTGTGCTCCGAATATTTTGGGGTTTTTTGGGTATCGGAATTACCCAGACCGAAATTTCAGGTAATTTGGGTTTGGGTATTTTTTGGCAGAAAAAATTTCGGTCCCCATTTTTTAGTACCTGAATTACCCATAAACCGAACTACCCGAACCGAAATAACCGAACGCCTAGGGTGATCGACATCTGATAATTTGTTTGTCTGCAATCAGGGTTGTGAGAATGTCTAACATGCCTTCTTTTTTTATTTCTCGAGTGAAGCAAGTTTGGGTTTATCGCAAGCCATCGACGGATTCCTGCATTTTTCCTTTTAAACTATGACCAAAATAATTTTTCCTTTGCCCCGGTTTTTTCCGAACCGAAGGCATGAACAGAATACCCCCACCGTCTCAAAATATAGTGTGTATTAGATATTTTCAAAGTCCATCCAAAACAGAAAAAGATGTTGTCAGAGTCAAACCTTGAAAATCTTGACCAAACTTACAGGAAAAACCGTCCTCGCCTAAAATACGAAATCAATACCATTATATTCATGAAGGAACATATTTTCATGTGGTATGTATGTATGAATTCGGCATCGTGGAGATGGATAGTTTGCTCAATGAATTTGTCCTTTGATTAAAGTTTGTGATGATTTTCGCCAAAAAAAAAGTTTGCGAATTGTAATAATTGACTTTCGCGAAAACCAAATGCACCCAGATGAATTTTTTTATCCCCACATTTTCCCTCGACATTTTTCCATTGAAAAAAAAAGTGGCGCAAGCCCAGCTGCCCATTTCACTTTCCCTCGCTCGCTCCCGCTTCCGCTTCTCCTCCTCCCCTCCTTTCCCCTTCCCCGCCTTCTCCCCCTCGAAGCCACCGCCGAAGAGCCCCCACCGGCCCCGAACCCCTGCCACCGGAGCTGCCGCCGGCCGCCGGCCGCCGCGGAAGCCCCGCTACGATGGGGGCGGCGCAGTCGTCCCCGGGCGAGCCCGGCCTCGACCTGGCCTCCACGCTCGACGGTACGCGCATCTCCGCCACCGCGCGAAACCCTAGCCCCGCCTCGCGCGTTCCCTCGTCTCCGACGGCGGCGAGCTGACTCGGTCCCTGCCTCCTCCAGCCTGCCCCGGCCCGACTGAGAGGGCGCTGCTCGCGGCGGTCCTGGATGGCGACGTTCCCCGCCTCAAGGGTGAGTACCGTACCGCACCGCACCGCACGCCTCGCCGTCCCCCGCCGCCTCGTCCGCGGCGCGCTTGCCTGCCTGCCCGTGAGGCTCCTGCTGCCTGCAGGAGCGCTTGGTTTGCTTCGCGCGTGCTGGACGGTTGTGGGGAGACCCCGATTGTGCGCCCGTCATGCTAATCAGGGGTGTATTTGCCTGCATCACGATTGTTTTTTGCCACCTGACACGCCATGGTGGTGGTTGGTGCCTACCCAATTGCCCCTGAAAAGGAAGTAGTGGCACCTACCCTTGTGATGAACTGAGGTTTTCGGCCAGATTTGGCTTTGTGATTCTATTACTATGGTGCTTTAGGCTGCTGAATTTCCATGTTTGTTGGCAATTTTGACCCAGATTGTGCAATCATTTTATTTTGTCGCAGACTTATAGTTCTCATATGCATTTTATTATAACTTATCTGCCACATTTTGGGGTTGATGTAGATATTGTTCATGCAATGGATGTCGAGGATAGAGCAAACCTTGCTGACATGGATATACTAGAGGGCGCTGGACTGCTAGGATTGGCCTCATACACGCGTCAAATGAAGGTCTGCGAATACTTGGTAGAGGAGCTTGGCCTTGACGTCAATGCCGGTGGCTCCCGTGGTGGTGCGTGTATTTCCTCTTCTAGATCAGTTACTGCATTTTTTGTGTTATTGGTTTGCTTCTATGGATTGCCATACTGTCATGTAAGCTGTTCTGTCTGATGCAACATGTAACTCAGATAATGGCTTAGCTATTTTGTTTACATATTCTTTTTAGCTCTAGCATGTAATTGCTATATCTAATTCTGAATGTTAAAAGCAGAATTTGCATGTGGAAACAAGTGGTGCTGTGCTGTCAAATTGTACGTTTTCACCGTCTTTGTCTCTGTTTTGCACTTCTCTGGTGTTCTTGTATGTTTTTTTTGTTTCTGCTTAACTAAATGATGCTGATGCAGGTCCTTTTGAGAGCGTTTTACTTTTTATGTAATTTTTGGCATCCACCTCCAAGGTGCAAAGGGGAAGCAAAGCTATTTATTATCTCATTTTCTTAGATACACTCTACTGGAATGATTGTATGATATCTGGTTGGTTGATGACATGGACAAATTTGCCAACACATATACATACAAGCTATTGGAGATGCTCTTATGATCAAATATGTAGCTCCCATTACATTAATTATTCATCACACATATTCTACTTTGTTATAAATAGAAGGACAAACTGTGTGATGCATGGGCCTCGTGTAGTCTTCCCATATTCTAACTTGCATGTAGCATACAAACCAATCCATAGTATTACGTCGGCAAAGATTACCTCGGTTTTGAATTTTCAAGATCTTCTCTCTCAAATTATGTACCTGATTGGTGAATTGTTTTCACCACTAGCATTTTGTGACGAGATCTTTGAAACTAGATCCTATGTTGATATGTTTTGATGACCTTTTTTTCTTCTGTCAGTAGTTTTTAGGTTATAGTGACTTGGTTACCATGTTATAGCCACTTGGTACTGGGTTATAGACGCTTGGTTGCCACATTAGGGTCATCACTCTCCCATTCATATAAGACTTGCATGGTGGTACTTTATGGTCTGATATCATCTCCTACTTATTGGCAACAATTGTATTCTCACTCTCTGAGACTGCACAAGATTGCAATGCCTAAATACATTATTACTTGGTAACCCCATGCACTATTAGCGTGATAATCTTTCACTACTAATATGGTAGCCGTTGTATGATAATCTGGAGTTGGTAGCGACAAAATGGGATCTTGTTTAGAAGCTCCCGCCGAAACGAACTCAACAATTAAGATGGATCGTTAATCAGGTTGGTGATTTAGGACATAAATTGTTTTGAATTTTGGATTTAGCAATAAACGCTGATGGCATCGGCATGAAGTGGTAGGCTCTGCACATGCATACACCATCTTTCCTATTGGCGACGAGCTACATTGGAATCCGCTGTATAGGAAAACTATCTGGGCACGTGCACATATTAGTTTTTCTGTTAATATAATTAATCACATTCTGGCTTTAAGGTTTTTTACCATTTTTATGTGGTATTTTGTCAATATGCTGGCTATATATGTAGCAGGAGTTAACATAAGGGTTCCACATATAACATCTCTTAGTGCAATTCAGAGCACGTGGGAACATCTACCTCCCTTCCCAAACATACAAACTGGAACACATCACACACGTGGGCATGCCTGCTCCCGCACGCATACCATACTACATGTTTTATGTGGTTATCTGGTGGTGAGAGGATCTTTTAGTATTTGCATGGAATGTGGTTTATCTGCCACATTTATAGGAATTTATGTAATGGCAGCACATGCGTGTAAGGAAGAAACATGCATACCTTATACTATTGTACATTAGTAGAGCTTGAGTGTTTTCGCCTTCAATAAGAGAGAGCAAGATATATTGGTGACCTGACAGATTGCTTGTTTGTTGGCAGGTCCACCACCTTTGGGTTGTGCAGCATTGTCTGGAGAATGTGTTGCTGCCAGATATCTTCTCAACCATGGAGCTGATCCAAATAAGATAGATGGGGCAGGCCTTGCTCCTCTTCATTGTGCTGCTAAAAATGGTCTCTCCCTCTCTCTGCATATGTTCATTGATCTATTGGTGATTTTCATGAATATTAATCTGTTGCTAAACGAGAACAATTGAATGCGAAGCTGTAACCATCAAACCTTCCGGTTTTGAATATTGAAAATACTTCCCGGTAATTTCACTGTTGTGCAGTAACTCCTTGCTCCATGATAGTTTGTTCCACTGACTTATTTGTTGTCCTATATTTTCTATGCTGGGCATGTCTGGTCTGGCCTCAGGATCAGCAATTTAGAAACCACCCGGCAATCTTTTATTCACCTATCTTTAACATTCTTCTCTCAATCTTCTTAAAGCTATGTTGGTGAAATTTGTTTTACAGAATCCTCAGGCACTCGAGAAAATCGTGCCTTTTTTTAAACACAGGCAAATACCACCTCTTCACCTTCTTGACAAACCTCTTGCCCCTCTACATCTTCAGATTCGTATTCTTCCTCATCTCCTTCACCATCATGGATAGTTGTGTTAACAAATTTCCTTAGCAGGCAACCGCTGGATATGTGTCCTTCACCACATTTGTAGCATTTTGCGCCTTCATTGGACTTGCCCTTGCCTCTAGTTTGCTTCTGGATGGGTCGTTTTGCCTTTGGTGGAGCGGTCTTTTCTTCCACTCTATTAGGCTGACTCCTAGACGAGCCTTCGGCATGAGGATATGGAGCCTTAGTTGCATTTCTTGTCCTCACAAACCTCTCGGCCTTTAAGGCTAGAGCTTGTGCTTGATCAATGGACCAGATTTGTTGCATCATCAATCGATCTTGAATAGAGCATCATTGAGACCATTGATGTACCTTGCAACTTGTTGATCTTCAGTTTCAGCAAGGTTGCACCTCACTTGTAGCCTTAGAAACTCCTCCATGTAACCTGAAACGGTCCTATTTCCTTGAGCACAATTTTGAAATTGGATAAACAGGATCTGGTCATAATCAGCGGGCAGAAATCTCCCTTTCAAGAGACTTTTCATTTGCCGTCAAGTTCTCACACGAGGTTCTCCTCTCAGCCTGTGCTCTTCTTGAACGCGATGCCACCATGCACCTGCTCCTCCTTTCAGCTTGTATGCAGCAGGATTGGGCAGCTAGCGGCGCCCTGGGGAGGCAGCAGCAGTGACGTGACCTTGGGGAGGTGGCAGCGTCACAGGTGGAGCAGCAGGGTTGACCTGCGGATGGTGGAGGCGGACGAAGTAGCAGCCGCTCCTGGCCTTGTTAAGCATGTGCAGCTGCTCTTGCCAGGAGCGTGGACCTGCAGGGCGGGGTGACGGACTGCAGGGCGGGGCGCCGGAGCAAGCGGGCGGCGCGTGCAGGCTGAAGGGGGCTGACCAGAGGCGGAGGCGTGCGGGGCGCTAGGACAGAGTAGCAGCCGCCGGCGAGATAGACAGCCAGAAGAAACCGGCGGCGCGAGAGATTGGATCGGGAGACGGAAAAAAAATCGATCGGAAGAGGGGGACAAGTTGTGGCGTCCGGAGGAGAGCTAAACCTAGGCTCTAATACCATTTGATTTTATGATGCAACTTATATCTATTGCATCATAGCCCAAGGGGCATATATATATATTACACAAGACTTGGGGTACAAGGAAATGAAAGATAGCCTAATAGGACTCCTAGACCTATTACTAATACTCCTTAACAATCATTACTTACCGTTGTTAATATGAGCCTTCAATCCCGGCAGCATTTAATTCTAGTGGTTCTTTCATACCATACTTTGAAACAATGGTGTTTGATCCACACTTTTTTTTCCAAAAGGGGATAGCCGGCCTCTGCGTCATGATAATGCACACATCCATGTTTGATCCAGTGATCCACACATATCATCGATAAGTTTAAGACATGGGTGTCCGGGTAACAATATTGACCCATCTGGTTAAGGTGCCATTAACGTTCAATTGTCGGTTCTGCTTTTGATCCTCTCATGATTGTCATTGCAATTTCTGAAAAAAAAATTGTAACAACTTAGAGGAACTCAAATGAATTTTATGGTGAACTGATGTCTGTATCTTCAAATGTTTTGGCTTATTATACGAAGAAAAGGTCGTTATGGAACTCTTTAGTGGTTCAGTGCACATCTTATAGGAATTTAATTATTGCATATTTGTCTTAGCCAGCTCTTATAGTGTGTCTTTTTAATGGTTGTTCTTTATGACACCCATGCTATTCATGTGTTTTGCTAGGGAATGAAGAAGTAATGCGTCTATTATTATCCAGAGGAGCCAGCGTGGATATAGATGATGTTTTTCAGGGGACGCCCCTGCACACTGCTTCTTCCTTTGGGAATGCTGGTGCTTTGAAGATTTTGTTGGATCACCATGCAGATGTAATGTGTAAATTCCACAATTTTTTCATTGACAATTTGGACAACTTGATGCAATCTGGACGTGTTATATGCTTGCTTCATCTGTTATGTTGGACTTATCTTTGATATTTTACCAAATCTACTTTCACAAGTATTGAAGTTTTTACTGTACTTTGTTTTGACAAGTCCAATTATTCATTCATAAATTTTCTAGTCACCTATCGTTCAAAATAGTGGGAATACCTATAATGGCCAAGTTTAGGGTAGTTCGCTGGTAATTTAGCTTTAGAAATCCAAAATAGTGCTAATGTATGGATGCGAGTTCAGATATATTATGTCGCTGTGGAGTCAAATGCGTCAAACCTGTTTTTCTGTTCTTACGTTGTATTTACAGTCTTACTGCTCTAACTGTTGAATTATGTCACTTCTAAGAATATGCTTTTCTTCTTTTTAATTTGTAGCCAAACAGGGTTTCACAAGTTTCAGGTACCCCTCTAATTATGGCTCTTGATTCTACCAAGCATGGAGTGAGTGAATCTGACACACTCAATTGTGTGAAGCTACTTGTCAAGGTCTGGTATCCTGTTTGCTTTGTTTCTTCATGTCTTCTCCTAGACGGGAACTCTAGTATATAGATATAAGTGGGTTTTGTTATCTAATTCTTTCTTTCATTATCTGTTTTATGCATGGCGTTTTGCGTTGCATAACATGCGTCCACAGGCTGGTGCTGACATGAATTCTGCTAATCCGAAAACTCCTTTGGTGGTGGCAGCTATGTATGGCTTGGCTGACTGTATTAAGTACTTGCTAGAGGCCGGTGCAAATCCTAACATTCCAGATAAGCAGGTGAATTTTTGTTCCTCATATTTTTTTGTTATTCTTAATGCATATGGTACTTTTGTTGGCTCAATGTGTCATATGCTTCTGAAACGGTGGATAAGTCGTGTCAAACCTTACGAATCTTATGGAAAGTTCTTTTCCCTTTTTGAGATTGATGCGGGGGGTATGGGGAGCAAAATTCCCCACCGCTTGTTGATTCAACTCGAACGGGCAGGGCTATTGAATGCAATTGTTCGACTCTGGACGCATACCCTTATCTGTTGATTTTTGTACAAGTGGCGGGTAGTGACTTTTATTTAAGTTTTATGCGGAATGTTATTGTAACTTGTAAGAATATCACATGCTTCCAGAAAACAAACATTGTGGTCAAAAGGTTGTTAGTTTTGTCTTAAAAAGGGGAGAACCATGGGACATAATGAGTATTTTCTAAAGTTATGTGGTTCTTGGCATTTGACTTGATGATTGTGAAGGGTAAGGAAGCTAGCCGAGCCTAGTAGGATCCACGTAGGTAGCTGGAACGTAGGGTCCTTGATGAGTAAGTGTTAGATGTACCCATGTAGCCATCGATTTCTACAGAGCCTTTTGTATTTACCCCATTCGTCGGTGGTGCTGGTTGCTCTCATGACTTTCACTGATAGTGCTGCTGCATATTGGCTTCATCGACCACGCCTTGCACACATGCCTTCCTTGGTGGACGACTTGCGTTTGGAAGGTAGCTTCATGGGAGTTTGGAGTGACCGGGGCTAGTAGAATCGAAGCTAAAAGATACCTGGTGGTGGAACGATGATGTCCAAAAGGCTATGAAGGAGACGAAAGATTGTTTCAAACGCCTACACCTGGATAGGAGTGCAGATGACATATAGAAGTACAGGGTGGCGAAGAAGACCGTAGAGGGAGCTTGTGAAGCAAGGGGTCGGGTGATGAGGACCTGTACCAACGTTTAAACACGAAGGAAGGCGATAGGGACATCTATAAGATGATCAAGATCCGAGAGAGGAAGACGAAGGATGTCAACCAAGTTAAACGCACCCAGGAGCCCGAGGGAAGGAGGCTTTAAAAAGGATGAAAAGAGGCAAGGCGATAGAACCTAATTGTATTCCCCTTGAGGTGTGGAGAGGCCTTGGTGACATAACGATAGTATGGGAAACTAAGCTTTTCAACCTCATTTTTTGTTTCGGTCAAACAAGATGCCCGGAGAATGGCGGCGGAGTATATTAGTACCAATCTTCAAGAACAAGGGGTATGTTCTAAGTTGTACTAGTTACCATGGAAATAAGCTGATGAGCCATACAATGAAGCTATGGGAGACAGTCACTGAGCATCGCTTAAGAAGAATGACAAGCGTGACAAAAATCAATTTGGTTTCATGTCTGGGAGGTCGACCATGGAAGTCATTTTCTTGGTACGACAACTTATGGAGAGATGCAGGGAATAAAAAGACCTGCATATGGTGTTCATTGACTTGGAGAAGGCTTACGATAAGATACCGCGAAATGTCATGTGGTGGGCCTTGGAGAAACACAAATTCCCAACAAAGTACATTACCCTAATCAAGGACATGTACGCCAATGTTCAAGTGTTTGAACATGTGATGGCTGCAAAGATGACTTCCCAATTAAAATAGGACTGCACCAAGGGCTAGCTTTGAGTCCTTATTTTTTTGCATTGGTGATGGATGAGGTCACAAGGGATAGACAAGGAGATATCCCATGGTGTATGCTAGTCGATGATAGTCAGACGGGGCTAATAGAAAGTTAGAGCTGTGGAGACAGACTTTAGAGTCGAAAGGTTTTAAGGCTTAGTAGAACTAAAACTGAGTACATGAGGTGTGGTTTCAATACTACTCCCTTCGTAAAGATAATGGCATTTAGATCACTAAAGTAGTGATCTAAATGCTCTTATATTTCTTTACGGAGGGAGTACTAGGGGAGGAGGAAGTTAGCCTTGATGGGGAGGTGGTACCTCAGAAGGACACCTTTCGATATTTGGGGTCAATGTTGTAGAAGGATGGTGATATCAACGAAGATGTGAGCCATCGAATCAAAGTTGGATGGATGAAGTGGCGCCAAGCGTCTGGCATTCTCTGTGATAAGAGTGCGTCACAAAGCTAAAAGACATGTTCTATAGGATGGTGATTCGATCTGCGATGTTGTATGTCCCTGAGTGTTGGCCAACTAAAAGGCGACATGTCCAACAACTAGGTGTAGAAAAGATGCACATGTTGATATGGATATGTGGCCACACAAGAAAGGAACGGGGAATGATGATTTACATGATAGAGTTGGGGTGACATCGATTGAAGAGAAGCTTGTCCAACATCGTTTGAGATGGTTTGGTTGTACACAACGCAAGCCTCCTGAAGCGCCAGTGCTTAGCGGATGGTTAAGGTGTGCTGGAGAGGTCGGGGTAAACCAAACTTGATATGAAAGGGGTTCGCAAAGAGAAATATGGACTGAAACATCACCAAAGATTTAGTCATGGACAGGGTTAGCTATTCACGTGCCAGAGTTATGACTTGGTTTTGACTCTCATGGGTTTCAGCTCTAGCCTATCCCGACTTGTTTGACACTAAAAGGCTTTGTTGTTGTTGTTATTGTTGTTGTCGCCGTTATTGTTGTATGTGATTCTTGGCATTTTCCATGGAGATGCAGCTAACCAGTTTGTATCACTTGACTGGTATCCCATTTTAGAATATTATCTTGTGAAAAAAGGTCATATTACTATTACTTGTGGTGATGATGTCGTGTTGGTAACTGTTGGAACACGTGGGAATGTCTTAATTATTGCTGCTTTAGTGTATCACAGTGTTGTTTTAACTGTATGTATCCTATGTTTCTGTTGACACATTGTGATCATCCTCCATAAATATCTTCCTCCTGTTCTTTTTTGTACATAACAGTGCGGTACGACACCAATAGAAATCGCTGCAGACTCTGGAAGAAGAGAGCTCGTGGAGATTCTATTTCCATTCACTAAACCCATTCAATGTGTGCCAAGCTGGAGTGTTGATGGAATCATTACCCACGTAAAATCAAAGCACTTGAAGGACAAGGTACAAACTCAATTTGAAGCTCATTTATTTCAATGTTACAATTTGTAGAACCTTATGTTTGTCCTGTTCGTGAGATGTGTGTGAAATAAGGTGCATGTCATTTGTTCGTTATGGTGTGATATTCTTTTTCAACAGAATCTGCCTAGCAGCTACAATAACAAATATGTAGAAATAGTAGTGTGGAACCATCACTGGGACAATGTTAACTAGTCTAGTCCGGCAAATAAAATCAGGAAGTCCTGAACACATATGGTGAAACTCTGGTTAATAGGGGAGCAAGTACAAAATAGAAACATGATCCTATTAACTGGTTGCATGAAACAGAACATCATGATATTACTCACTGCAAGTTAGTCAAGTATGTTTTGCTGCGCATATTCATTTGCCATTGTTTGCTGGTTTTTAGGTGTCATCATTGCACAATTTTGCCAATACTGTTGCTTGGAGATGGAAGTACCATGTTTAGGGCATTCCAATTGTTTTCAACTAAACATGCTTATGAATTGAAGTGATAAAATTGTTGCTCTGAAGAGAGGGCTTAAGTACATGTTCTCTTAATGGTGTAGGACAAGGTAGGTCAAGATAAGAAGGCTGAGCTGAAATCACTTGGTGCAAAAGCAGTAGAGGAGAAGGACTACGCCGGTGCATCAAAATTCTACAGTGAGGTATATTGTTGTGGTATCATACCTTCCTACTGGACTTGTGGTACATAATTGACTGTTGGGCATGCCGCATGGATGTATATGCTCTACCCGTTTGAGCGCTTTGATTCTGGGATGACGGATCATGCTCATGATTTGGTTTGATGCAGGCAATCAAAGTGGATCCTGAAGATGCAACGCTCTATTCAAACAGGGGCCTTTGCCATCTAAGGATTGGTGAAGCACATGATGCTCTGGTGGATGCCAATGCTTGCATAAGGCTGCGACCTGATTGGCCAAAAGGTTACTGGCGGAAAGGAGCTGCCTTAACAGCCCTCAAGGTCAGACAAAATCAGCGCATTGCTGGCCTTTTGCTTGCTTTTTACATGTCAACCCCGTCTCCTCGCGTGGACAATAACAATATGCTTCGTGTTTTTGTATCCTTAGGATCACAAGGAAGCATGTGATACGTACATGGCTGCGATGAAGCTGGATCCTGCAAGTCAGGAGATTCATGAAGCATTTTGGTAACTCTTCCCATCTCGCCTTTCGTTTTCTTCAACACGTCTTCTAATTCCAAGGATCCTTTAAATATAACTGGTTTTAACTTTGACTCCATACGTAACTTTGTCGTTATGTTATGCATATCATTATTCTGGCAGAATTGATAATCAAGTGAAGCATGATTTATTATCATATTGCGGGTGCACTCAAATAGTGTATATTTGCTTGCATCATTACTTTGGGGCTGAAATGCTTGGTAGTATTTTTTAAAAAGAAGTTCGGAATAGATTAAACTTGCGTAGCTTGAATCTAACACACCATATTGGCTCCATAATAACCGGTGCTGCGTCTGACATTTTCAGGGACGCAGTTGCGGCAATGAAGGAGGAACTTGATGCTGAACAAAGCGGCAGCTCATCTGAATCTGATTAGGGCCTGCATGGTTGGGCTGGTTTCGGCTGTGCTCACTGGTTCCCTTCCGGCTTGTTTTACGTCTGGTGATCTCGTTTTTGTCTGAGAAACCGTGAAACGTTGCGTTGTTGCTACATGGCCATGGGTGCTTGCGTGTGCGAGCGCTTTAATCAGTTCTGGCACGTATTCATCCAAATCCGTCTAGAACGCTCATGATGCGCGTCATTTTAAACTTTTTCCCCACTTAGGCCCCGCTTGGAATGTTGTTTTTCTGCCACCCTTGTAACATTTTACACCTGTATTATACTAGTCTCAAACCGAATACATGCCACAGGGTTGTATTTCCATTCCGCTTCTAGCCTCCGCTTGGAATGTTGTTTTTCTGCCACCCCTGTAAGTTGGCTCCAGTTTCAATTCGGTTGTAAAATATACATGGCGCCCAAGTTGCAGCACTACATATATGTTCAAACATGCATGGCACCCAAATGTATAGCTTTTCAACAGCACAGACTTTCTAATACACACGTACAGAATTTTCAACAGCACAGACTGCACTTCCACACAAATTGCACAGGTATAAAATGAGCTAAATTTTTGATTTATATAACAGTACAACCATTGTTCATCTGTTTGTTTATCAGTATTTCTAGGTTTACATCAATCTGAACTTCGACAGCAGCTAACGAACTGAATTCTTGTGAAACTTTGGCAGCAGCTGTTAACTGGCAGGAGGGTTCGGGCTAATCATGACCAAGCAGGACGGCCACGTCGCCAAGGAGTACTCCGCCGCCGGTTGAACGGGGAAGGGGCGGGGAGGGATGGCAGAGGAGGAGGAGGAGGGAGGATACCTTGGTGGAGCAGAGGAGGATGAGCGATTCGCCGTCACGGTCAGGTCACGGCTGCCGTCGCGGCCAGGAGTGACTCGCCGTCACTGTCGCGGCCAGGAGCGAGTCGCCGTCACCGTCGCGGCCAGGAACGAGTCGCCGTCACTGTCGCGGCCAGGAGCGACTCGCCGTCATTGTGGCGGCCAGGAGCGAGTCGCCGTCACCGTCGCGGCCAGGAACGGGTCGCCGTCGTCGGCGCGCCTAACCCCCGTCGTGGCCACCGTCTTCTGCGCCTCACCACGTCGCCGTCGCGAACGCCGTTGCTTGACCACCTCGTGGACACCAGCGCCGGCGCCTCCCGGCGGCGCAACTCGATCTAGGTCTCGAGCGAGAGGCGAGGTGGGGAAAAACGACGGCCTCTGGTCTGTATCGGATACCGGCCTGATACGGGTGTAAACGAGAAAACCAGTGTAAAACTTACAGCCCAAAAACGACATGCCAAGCACCAACGACAGGCCCATCCGTTTTTATTTTACGGGGGTATATTTTACAGGTGTATTGGGCCTTAAAACGAGGATCCAAGCGGGGCCTTAGGCCGCGCTTGCCGTCAATGTAATTGAATACAGATGTAATTTACTTACAGGTGTAACTTACTGGTCAAGAGCTATTTCCTGCCAGAAACCAAAACGACAGGCAGAGGCCTCTGAGTTTTTAATTCTTTTGAAAGACCCCGCATGCTGCTGGCATTTCATTGATTTAGAAGGAGGGAGCGGCAAACAGGGTTGATGAAGTGATCAGTGAATGAGATAGTACAATAGAAAATAAGGAGGTGTTTGTTTCCAAGTTTTTTGCCCGTCACCTGTTAACGCCGTAAAGGGAAAACAGTCCCCGCGTTTCGTAACTCCACACCGTAAACAGGTCCAGGCCAGTTATGTATCGATACCGCCCACCTCCCACCGGTAAAGACTGCGGTATCGATCTCATGCCCTCCTCCTCCTCCCCGCACAACCCTCCTCCTTGTCCGCCACCCCCTCCTCCTTGAGCACCTTCGAGTCCTGCATCGGCGTCTCCATGACCCCCTTCTAGCCCCCCTTCGCCGCGGGTAGCGCTTGTGATCGGGAAGGGCCAGCTGCTCCTGAGATTGGAGGCGGAGCTGCTCCTGAGATTGGAGGCGGACGGCAGCGCACATGCTCGGGGACAGTCTGTGGCGCACAAGATCCGGCCGGCCGGCGACGTTTGATTTCGGGGATCGCCGGTGGCGCTTGATTTTAGGGACGGCCGATGGCGCTTTGATTTTTCGGGGATGGCAGTTAGCGCTTGACATCTTGGGCGGCTGGAGCCGAAAGATCAGGCTACTTACGGTGGGCATGCTGGCCAGTGAGCAGCAGGGACGGTAATCAATTCTTTTACCTGAAGTGAACCAAACAAACTTGGAGAAAACCCATTACATCTCCTTAAACGGTCTGATCTGATTACGTTAATGTTACCATTACCATTTTTGTAGCCAAACACCACATAAATGAAAAAACCCGTGGGCGCTACTGTGGGCAATCCCTCGCATCACTTGCCCCAAAGGGGTGCTCAAAATGGAAACCGTAATCCAAACAGGGCCTTAGCCGTATTGGAGTCATCTTTGGCTCGCCTTTTCTGCATGGTTGGGAAGAAAAATAAATGATTTGGATGAGCGGTTGGGTGGGTATTACTTGTTTGACAGGGTATTGGCTGGACGCATGATCTCGAATAAGTTGGTGCCCTAAATTTGAAAGCAATTGATATACGGGATCCTATGGTGGAGAGGCGGGGAGGCAGATATGACAATCG